CATTATTATCATTGTTAATCATTTATTTAACTATAACTACTATTACTTCATTTTATGAAAAAATGAAGTAATAATAGTTATAGTTAAATAAATGATTAACAATGATAATAATGTATGTATGTATAATGTATGTATGTATATGTGTGTGTGTGTGTGTGTGTGTGTGTGTGTGTGTATGATTGATAATATGAGATTTTATATAAATTGTGAATGAGGACTATGGAGAGGATGCACAAAAGTTTTGTAACCAAAAATAAACAATTTTATACAGAATATAATATAAAGATGTACTACTACTGGATGAATTTAGGATGATATAATGAAATGCCATAATATAAATTTCTTCAAAATTTAGAATAACTCACATAAAATGAAGTAATAAGTTACAGTCAAATAAATGTTTAACAATGATAATAATTGTATACATATATATGATATGAGATTCTATATAAATTGTAAGTGAAGACTATGGTGAGGATGCATAAAAGCATTGTAACCAATCGACACACTGTATGTAACTGGAAGATGGTTTTATGTTTATCTCTGCTTGTTTGTTTAAAAATAAAAATATTTTTTTTTCAAAAAAACAACAATTCTACAGGCTGCTAGAAATCTTTCGATTAGGCGCTTACAACAAGAGATGGTTCCAAAATAGAATTACACTGGCTGTAACTTAACCATTGGGCCCTAAAGTTCATGCACCAAACTTATTTAATAGATAAATTCATATTAAATATTCATATTCATGTTGAATATTTTGGATACAATATAAACATACCGAATGGACATCGATGGAATGTTCACCTCTGTTGTAATGATATCGTGCAGCTGTTTGTTTCTTGAAAAAAATAGATGGGGAAGTAGAAATTCAACGAAGTAGCAATATATTAAGTAACAATTATATTAGAAGCATAAAGTGTCAAAAGGAACAATAATCAATCAAAATTAGCTAGATATTTAAACACGTGTTTATAATGGAGTTAAAATTAGCTATAGTAAAATAAACCAAGAGCTCTAGATTTTTGAGCTATAGTTTTTTAAATAACATTTAGGGTTTTGTTTCTTCATCAGATTAAAGCAGTATACATCAGATATTTAATAAAACCTCAGAAAATAAATCATAAGCAGGAAAGATACTAAAGATCAAGGTTATACATCAAATTGTTTTGTATCATTTTAAAGACAGAAAAATTAAATGAGAATTCCAATGATCTTAATATAGAAAGTGCTATTAGTACAAAAATCTAAAACTAATAGCAATATATTCCTAGTCTATCCACAGTCATTTTATCAGATAACCATTGTTCCCAAATTAGAATATATGAATTCTGTTCTTCATCTTAGGCTTTTATGGCAAAGGCAGAGGTGATAATTAAGATCAATATATTTAATTTAATGTAGCTTTCTCAATAATCAAAATATTGAAGCATTTTTGCATCTCCTAAGTGATCACACATTTTGTAATTGCCAACAAAAAGTAATATAAATAATATAAAGCCTATTTATAATATAGATTTCAGTTGCTGAAGTTGAATTTAAAATTAAATCAGCAAGGAACAAAGCCCATTATCTAATCTATTGTCTTAAATCTTGTAGAGAACCAAAAATGAAATACAAATGGAGAAGTGGATTTGAACAGGAGAAAATACAGGGTACTGCAAAGAAATGTGCATAGAAAGCAACTGTCAAAAAAAGTCATTGGAGTGAACAAGGGTTTAAGCTTACATAGTTTGTATGTCCTGGGATATAATGATAGGGATTCATTTCCTATATGGATGTGCTTGAATTTTAAGGGAGTTGGGTTGCCCTCCCTTGACAGTGAACAGGTTTATTCCAAGAAGCAATCCAAAAGTATAGAGGTATTACAATGGAAATGTATACACTGGTATACATCTTGGTAATTTTCTGAAAAACTATGAATTCTGAACCAAACAGAAACTAAATGTGATTGGTTGTAATGACTGCTGATATGTAACTAGTGTAGCCTGTAGCCTGGGTGCACAAATAGTACAAGGAGGGCATACTGAGAACAGGCCCGACCATGTTGAGGGGGCATGTACCTGAAAGCGATGGATTCCAACACAGCTCGAACAAGATGCTTTTTGGTAGTAGTAGGTGTGATCCCCATAAAAGAAGTACATGCATAAGGATCATTCACAGGTATCTGAAATAAAACAGATTTTGAAATAAAATATATAGGCATATGTTATATAGGCAATTGTTCAAGAAAGGACTGAAATATTAGGGAAAAGAATAACTTACAGGTAACAATAAGAGCAGCATAGTAAGAAGAAGAAAATTGAAAGAACAGTAAGCAGTCTATAAGCAATATATATATTGCTTTATTTATTTATCAGCACAAGATAGATAGATAGATAGATAGATAGATAGATAGATAGATAGATAGATAGATAGATAGATAAGATAGATGATAGATTGATTCAGAATGTAATTTTATTTACCTTGAAAACATTGTAGAACATACTGGAAGTTGAATAAAATATATATAGCTAGACCTTGATGTACAATCACAACTAAACCCAAAATCTCCATTGCTAAACAAGGCAGGTGTTCAGTGAATTCAGCCTTATTTGCTAACCTTTTTTGCCAGTTTTAAAGCAATTCTTAAATTAATCGTGGTTGTTAAATGAATCTGGCTTTGCCCACTAACTTTGCTTGTTGGAAGCTGGCTGGGAAGTTTACAAATGGTGATCACATGATCACGGGACACTGCAACCGTCATAAATACATGCCAGTTGCCAAATGCCCAAGTTTTGATCACATGACTATGGGGATGCTGTAATAGTCGTAAGGGGACCAAAAGTTTTCATGTCACTTTTTTTAGCGCTATCATAACTTTGAACTAAGTCATTAGTGAATGGTTGTAAATCAAGGACTACCTGTAATTTAGAACAATCATACTTGAAAGAAAAACAGTCACTTAAGTAAATAAATCAAGCAGTATT